ATAATAGACGACGGTTTTTAAAAAAATCGTCATCTTTACACATAATAGACGACAGTTTGTATAAAAATCGTCATCTTTACATATAATAGACGACGGTTTTTATAAAAATCATCATCTTTACACATAATAGACGACGGTTTTTATAAAAATTGTCATCTTTACATATAATAGACGACGTTTTTTTTTATTTTTATAAAAAGCGTCATCTTTACATATAGTATGACGTATGATAACAAAATCAAAGAAATAAATTGATAAAAAAAATTCGTATTAAGACGACGGTTTAAATATAAGGTATGACGTATAAAGGGAATAAATACGACGTTAAATTTTATAATACGTCGTTAAATGAAAAACAAACGTGGTGAGATTTAAAGATACCGTCGTAGAACTATACAAGAAAGACGTCGATATATTTTTATTTTCCGTCGTTGTACATTAATTTAATACGGCGATATTTTGTATTTTACCGCCGTGGATTTATTTGTAATTATATGGCGCCTTATACGAAAACTTGGTCGTGTTATTTTCTGCATAAAAACTGCGGCTTTTTTTGAAATCGTCGTCTTTACTTTCTACGTCGGTCGATTCATAACTTCTGCCGTTCTTTATTTGCTTTGATTTTACACTGCGGAAATCCTGTTTCAAATAGACGTCGGTTTTTTAATTAGGTACGTCGTTGTTTATGAACAACCATTTGAATCTCCATTTTTTAGGTGTCTAAGGTGTTATTACACGGCGGTTTTATAGAACCGTCGTCTTTTAAAAAACAACGACGGTTTTCACTTAGACCGTCGTTTTTTTCTGGTCGTCTTTGTCACTTTTTGTAGTAGTGTTAACATGCATAATTAGATATACCATGGCAGAAGAGCTTGCCGGACTTGGAGCGACCGTACAATATGCCTGTTCTAGTGACCAAGCACCGTTTTATGAGAGGAATCAAGAATGGGAAAGTAAAGGAGTTAAAGTGACCGGCTCAGTTTTTGACCTCAAATCTACAACTCAAAGAGAGAACCTCATGAACACATTCTCATCTGCTTTTGATGGCAAGCTTAACATCCTTGTAAGTTCATTTAAGTCAGATTAATTAATACTTTAGACGTTAATTAGCAGATTAGTTAACATAATTGAGATGGGTTTTTTTTATAGCTTGGTTACATGTTTTATATAGGTAAATAATACTGGAGCAATTGGAAATCCAGAGAAAAATTTGGAATTTCCAAGTATTATGAGAACTTGGGCAATAAAAAGTAGTATGAGGAACACCATTGTTGACTATCCCTACCGTCTTTCTCTACTTGCATACCCTCTCTTGAAAGCTTCAGGAAATGCAAGTGTTGTATTTCTGGCCTCTTTCGCTGATCTGAAAGCTGAGCCTGAACTCTCTGCCTTTGCAGAAACAAGCAGTAAGTCATTTATTTTTATTTTTATTTTGCAAAAATCAAAGTGTATATGTTCCAACCATTATTGTTTTTTAAAGGTGCTGTGACGCAAAATTCACAGAAGTTGGCGTGGAAATGGGCAAAAGACAACATTCGCACAAACACTGTGAAACTTATGTAAAACAACAACAATGGGGCTAAAGTATCTCATCCACTTAATTAATGTTATTTTTGGTCTACCAGTTTGATTAATATGTTTCAATTAGGATTTCTCAATAATCTAACATTTCAAACTTGTTTTCGGTTTTTAAGTTCGTGCTGATGATGGTCTCTGTCGTCCCGCAGAGCCTAATGAGATTTCATCTCTGGTTACCTTCCTTTGCCTCCCAGCTGCTTCTTACATCAATGGAAAAGAATTTTATATCGATGGACAACAAACAGTTTGTGACCCTGTAGGAATGTGGAACCAGGGCTGGCCTGGTAATAGTACTTCCATCCATTTGCTGTGGCAAATGGCAAGGGCAAGGTAAGGGCTGTTACTATTCACATGAATAGTGGCAGCCATTGCAAAAGGCTTGTGGTGTTTTCACCCATTGCCATGGCAACCACTATTCACATGAGATATGATTAGAGGAATTTGTATAGAGCTTTGGTGTGGGAAGTGAAAAATATGATTAAGTATTTATTTTTGAAAAAAATCTGAAATTTTTAGGTTTTTTTATAATTTTTTTGTTACTGACGTCAACAAACCCACGATAGAGGACGGGCTCGTTTTGCATGTGGGCTAGCCTGGTTTTTCATGGGACACACTACTTGCTTGAGCAAGTTTGGCCTGCTGAAAGGCGTCGCCTGGGCTTGGGCCCTGTCCTGCCCTGGCTTGGGGCAATTGGTGGAATAGCTCTAATATGAGTCCTAGGGCAAAAATCTAAAGTGTGCCCTATAAATAAAGTAATCACTAAAATTATAATTTTTTACCAACTAATTAATTTTATTAAAATGATAGCATTCATTGTTTTACAACATGAGACTTCCCATTTGTTATTTTTTGATGACAATCATTTGAGAAAAAAATGTGATTGTGGGCAGTTAGTTTCTCTTGCATGAACTTTAAAATAAAAAGAGTATAGCCGAGAGGCTATACTACGGTTTTTATTATTTAAAAAATTGTACAGCATCGCGGCTTTACTCGGAATTGTTTTAATAATAACAATTGTATAGCCGCGCGGCTATACTACAGTTTTATTATTAAAAAATAGTATTCCCAAACGGCTATACAGTTTTGACACGTGGCAAAGCGGGAGATAGGCACCAAACGGCTGGCCCTTTTTTATTACAAATCGTATAGCCGTGCGGTCATACGCAGATTTTTATAATAAAAATAGTACAGCCGGGCGGCGATACTACTTTTTTTAATAAAAAATTAGTATAGCTGCACGGCTATAGTAACTTAGGCACGTGGCAAAATATGAGCCATGCGGCGGTCTTTTTAAAAAAAAAATAAAAAATAATGCGTATAGCCGACCGGCTATACCGGAAATTTTTTATAATAAAGATAGTCTAGCCAACCGGTTATACTATTTTTTACACGTGGCAAAATAGGCGATGGCGCCAGGCGTGTCTATTATATAAATTGTATAGCCGCGCGGCTATACTCGGTGTTTTTAAAAAAAAAAAAAGTATAGCCGTTCGGTTGTACTATTTGTGACACGTGGCAAAGCGATAGTGTAATATACCCAAGCCTAGGAGCATGGTTTCATAGTGGCACCACCAATGGAAAAAGAAAAAAAGACGAAGAAAGAAAAAGGAAAGGTATAAACAGAATAAACATCATGTTTGTTGCTTATCTGGGTCTGCACCTGAAACCCGTCTCAATTCTCAAAGAATAAGTTCTCAATTGGCGACCTTGAATCTGCAAGAATGCCTATACAACGTGATTATTTGGAAAATAGGAGCAACATAGAGAATAAATAGACAAAGAGAAAGGACTTAAACAAATATGCACGCCTTGTTATTTTTATTTTTGTCTGAGGACTTTTAATGTTTTATTTGTTTTGTTCTATACGTATATATGGCTTAACTTGATTTTTTTTTGGGAGTTTCACTAAAACACCCAAAATGGGAGTTGAAATTATAAAAAAACCCAAGCACTATTTAAACATATAAACACACCCAAAACCCATTATTACACACATTCAAAACCCATTTATAAACACACCCAAAAAGTTGACTTTGGGGTTGATTTTGGGTGTGTTTCTATGTTTAAATAGTGCTTGGGTTTTTTTATAAATACATGTCTAGGATTGGGTTTATTTATAAATTTGTAT